ATAACATTTCTCCCTGCCCCTCCCCCCGCCTCCAATTTCTCTCCTCTATCCAGCGCTATCCAGTGATAGCTATGTATTCAAAGTGCAATCTGTTAATGAAGGCATTATATATTACTCTATGTATTTCTGAGAGTGCTGAGGCTCAGGTTCACTTGGGCAAGCATTTTAATGTGCTGACAACTTTTTCAGTGAAATCTCATCAAATTCGTTGTTGGAAAACAATATTTTTTTTTGAGCCAAATTCACTCTTTGACTGCAAATGCTGTTTTGTTTAGTGGGCTGTGGAGGAGGCTGCAAAATCTTTATTTGGACCCATGTTTACTGTCATAAATGTTTTTTTATTTATTTAAAAATCGGATTTTGACTGCTGTTTTTTAAAAAGCACACTTCCAGGGAGGGGAGGGGGGTGATGTCAAACAAGTTACTTTGTTTTTCTGCAATAGTAGCAAAACGACTTCCGCAAGTTTGTAAATTTTTCTTGTGCATAGGTATCTGCCACCTTTGCAGCAAGTTTGGTAACAAGTCCTGCCATTGGAGCATACCTGTCTGCCAGCTATGGAGATAACCTTGTCGTATTAGTGGCCACGTTAGTGGCTGTTGTCGACATCTGTTTCATCCTGCTAGCTGTACCAGAATCTCTGCCAGGAAAAATGAGACCAGCTTCCTGGGGAGCTTCTATATCATGGGAGCAAGCAGACCCTTTTGCAGTAAGATGCACTTAAATAAGTAATTCATAAATAATTGCTGATTAATAAATAATAATAATAATTAATTGCATTTTGTAAGCTTGAGAAGTCTTTAATAGTATCAGTAGCTTGAGTATTCAGTATACCATAAATAATGTCTCTTCTCTGTTCTTGCACTTAAACATCTAGCTACATTTAAAAATCAAACCAAATTGGAGGATTAAATGATTCTTCAACTGGAAACAATGTTTGGTATGACATCCAAAGGGAAAATGCTTTAGTTTTCTAATGCAGCCTGCTTTATTTTAAGAGACTGAATTCTTACACTGCTACAGACTCCCAAAACCTGATACTCTTAAGGCTTATCTGTATTCATTTTATGTTTTGTACTTTTAACAGTATTTCTCCCCACTCTTGAATTCTAATTTTGGTTACATGTGTTTTCTTAGTAATGTAGAATGGATCTATAAAGCCTGATTTTCCTACGCACAGATACAGGAAGGGTTAAAATGTATCATGAGGTCTTTCTAGTAACTTGTTCATTTATTTACACTTACTGGGCTGATTTGTGTTAGTGTTACACCTTGATAAAAAAAGTGATTGTTTTTTATGAGATTCAGCTGGGAACTGGCAGTGACTGTTGAGAGATGAGTGATGTGCTTGAAAGACTGCAGTTAAAGAGCTTGTTTTCCACAATTTGTTCCTCAAAGTAATCCATATTACTGGTGAAAAAGTATAAGCAATGTGGAAGGAAAAGTACTCTCGGATTTGGGGGAGAGAAACAGTTGCAATAATGCCATTTTATTTGCTAGCATATTTCAGAACAGATTGTTATGGAGACTAATAAATGATGTTGTGCATTTCCCTGAATATCACATAATGCTGTTTTCAGTGAATACTTGTAATTTCACACTGAACAGTAGCTTCAAAAATAAAGCAGAAACTTTGCAGAAGAATCAAATGCCACAAGAATCAGATACCACAAACCTTGTGTAACGGGGTTGTTTCAAACTTAGTGTTCCGCTTATCTGTTTCTATGTGCGAGTTTTTGACTTGTATGTGTGGGTTAAAATGGATTTTAAAAAAAGTTAATCCACCTTCTTCTTTCTTTATGCTTTCATTAGACTTTGTCTAAATGTTCTAATATTTGTTTTGTTTCTTTGTTTTGCTTCTTTGTTTTGCAGTCTCTGAAGAAGCTTAGAAAAGATGCTACGGTTCTCCCAATCTGCATTACAGTGTTTCTCTCCTATCTGCCTGAGGCTGGCCAGTATTCTAGCTTTTTTCTGTACTTGCGACAGGTAAATGTTGGTGCCTTCACGTCTTACTAAGGATATCTAAATTAGAAAACTACTTTCTGGCAGAGTACTTTGCTAAGCCAAAATCTGAATAACACTTGACTCCTGATGCGTAACACTGCCATAGCCTAAGCACATGTTCATAAAATTAAGTAGACCTTTATTCCTGTGCAGAGCGGCAGGTTTTATGTCTTGAGGTGGGATCTTGCGTGTTGAAGAACTGTTGTGCCTGTGGGAAGTGATAGAGAACTTCAGTTTCCAAATACATGACTTCCTCTGTCTGCCTTTTTTAAGGCATCTTTTTTTTTTTCTTGTGTGGATTTCTTGCCAAGCAGTCAAGTTAAGGAGTAGTCTTGCAAGTAGACACTTCCTGTATGAATTTTGGTTTTAAGCAGGAATCAGTGCTTTCTTTGAAGAAGATATCTCTTTGCTAGTGATTTTCCTGGATTGTTTTTGGCTTTTGTTTTATGCATTTTCTGCTTCTCTTCAGGTTATAGGTTTCGGATCTGCTAGCATTGCGGCCTTTATAGCTGTGGTAGGTGTTCTGTCTATAATAGCTCAGGTAAGCTTTATTCTTTTCAGTATTAAAACAGTATTAAACAGTATTAAACTGAATGCTGAGGTACACTGTTCAGTTATGCTTGTCTAACCGTCTTACACACTCTAAAATGCCAATGTACCTTGCATTTGTTAAAAGTTCTATTCATACATACTCTGTCTAAATGTCTTGCTATAAATCTACTTTCCTTAGAAATACTGGATGTGGGCATCAGAAAATGAAACTGAAGTTTTCTCAGGTTGGATCAGTAGATTTACTGTAACTCCAGCTTTAAATGATTAAAATTATGTAGGAGGTTGATTACTTAATGCAAGGCCATCTGAAAGGGAAACATGTTACTTAATTTAAGCAGAAGTCATGCTACTTGGACCTATTGGCTTGGCTCATGCTATCAAACCTGCGTGGAAACAGTGCAGGTATTGACGTGGTCTGTCTGTCTGGAGTAGCTTAGGCTTGGCACAGAGGCTGAGGAACCACGAAGCCTTGATACATTGCTTTGGTGCCTCTTAACTGGCAACACGAGCTGATTTTTGGACAGATCCTTTAGACCTTTTAGAAATCAGACAGTTTTTATGGTGATCTTTGGTATCTTTGTGGGTGCAGTTTGTCTTCCTGTTGTGATAACAAGAGGAATGGCAGGTACAGTATGCAGTAACATTGTTACCATCCTTAAGAGGGTGGAAATCTTACTGTTTTGATGTGACGACACAGTCCTCAGTGTTTACCAGTTTTACTAGTGTCAGTTGTGCCTTTCATTATTAATTCAAGTGATTATTTCAATCCTTCGTCTTTGGTTTGTTCTGGTGGTGTTATCTGCACTCACGTTTGCCAATCATACTTTATTCAGACGCCAGTATATTTGCTAAATATCTCTAAAATGGCTGCTCTTCTGCTTCCTAATTTTCAGTGATAAAATAAGGAAACTACAGATTTTTCAGCCCTTTGAAGAATGCTGCTTATTGAAATAAGCTTTTCTTCATTAATACAGATTTGTGTTTTCATATTGGATATCTCCAGAAAGAACTGATCACATGTAGATAGAATTACTGTATTTTTGCTATTTAGCTTTCAAGTGAGCTTTGTCTAAGAATGAGAAACGAGAAAGATAGTATAAGATGTGCATGAGAGAGGAAGTATACTCTGCAGGCCTTCTGGTTCCTTTTCTCTGGCATTTTACTGATGCATGATACGTTGCTGCGTTTCTTACATTAAAGAAAACCATGTTCTCTGTTAACTAAGTGAAGTTGTCCATGTGGACTTTGCCTTACTAGGAACGCTCTGCTTCTTGCCATGAGTGTATTGCTGTTGAATCTGAATTGGGACCGCCTTACTCGTCAACAGAAACACCTCTAACAGAGGGAGACAGTATGTTTCTTTTAGGATTAGTTTCATGGGCAAATAAAAAGGTCCTATTGGTGTAAAGAGTCAGCAGAAAATGTAATTAAAGATGCCTAGGATTTGACATTGGCCAGATTTCAATGCATGTAGGGAAGTTGGAAAAGCAGTAGGATTTATCTACTGTTTTAGTTGTGAGTTTGGTTAGTAATTCACTTGGCCTAAAGAGACGACTTTTCCCTGAGTTACCAGGCTGTTTTTTCTCCCTAGTATTTGTAGATACTGGTAAATTGAACCCATATCCAGCCTATACTGTCTTAACTTAATACTAGCTTTTATTGTGGAGCTCTCTAGTCTGTAATGAAACAGATTTGTAGAGGTGGAAACGAAAGCCTGTTTACAGTAGAAACAGACACTGAGATACAGTGTCCTTAGAGAAGGCAATAAATGCTTCTTGATGTCCTGAAGTAAAAGCCCTTTAATAGTTGAAAATGTCTGTACCTCAAATGTTGATATGTCTAGTCTGCATTTTGGACTTAGTATGAGGGGCAATAAGAGCACAAATAGTGTGAATTTCCTCAGCAGTTGGAAGGTCTTCTGAACTACATTGTGTAAGAAGAGAAAGTACTTAAGTAATGGGTTTTTTTTTTTTAAATAACTTCTGAACGAACCAATTTCTTTTGCAGACTGTGTTTCTTAGTATCCTGATGAGGTCTATAGGGAATAAAAATACAGTTCTCCTTGGCCTTGGCTTTCAAATCCTTCAGTTGGCTTGGTATGGTTTTGGATCTCAGTCTTGGTAAGCATGCATTCTCACAGGTACACACCTGTTAAGGAATTGAAAATGTTTTTCTAATGTATTCTACCGTTTAGTTTTGCTGTCATGAGTATTTGTTTGTTCTGTGAATTAAGCATTCTCATTTGCATTACATTACTAAAGTTAGAGTCTGTATTTTGCACAGGTAGGAGTGATAGAATTTCCTGGGTGTGTATTGTAAGTTGCAGACTAGCAGCCATTTGGAAAAAGGAGGCTTTGCACCATTTTGGTCCACTGAGTTTTATGCTTATAAATGTGATTAAAACTTCTTCTTAAACTCACAAGCTATTAAGTAATATATTCTCTCTAGTATTTCCAATAGATCCATTCTGGCAAACAGTTACTGAACCACTACTGTTTTTTTTCTTCTTTTCTCACATGTCATTCACTTATTATATTTGGTCTTGGAAACTATCTAGACCTTCTTTTGTTGGAAAAGCTGTCCGTAAGTACAGTGAGCTAGAACCATAAGCTGAAACAGCTTTTTCTTAAAACATTTTGTTTTACTGACAGTCATGAATGCTTGTTCTTTATCAGAGCACTTTCTCATGAGTTAGAGAGCTGCCTCACTGGGACACCCTGTGAAATTGTTCCTTTGTACAGCTTTTGGAGAGGAAAAGCCTATGCATCACTTCACTCTCACTCCTTTCTTTTCCTTTGCTGTGATAACAGAATCAAATGTGGTTTTGTTCCAAGAAGTTCAGGGTCATTTATGGGAGCAGAGCAGGAAGAAGGCTCTGACCAGATAATTTCCAGTCTTTAGATATTTTAGTAGGAGTACTTTTGAAAGGTCCTTAAGCATTGAATGAGGGTACCCTTTTGTCCTTTTTTTAGGTGGAGTAATTACATGGGCAGTCTCATTTTTAATTCAAATTATTTATTTAACACAGGATGATGTGGGCAGCAGGAGCTGTAGCAGCAATGTCAAGCATTACGTTCCCAGCAATCAGCGCTTTGATTTCACGAAATGCAGAGTCAGATCAACAAGGTGAGTTTTGAATGGATTTCTGTACCAGCATCACGCTGCTTTCTTGGATGACCCGCCTGTCTAGAAAGCAGAATACTTATCTACATGTACTTTTCAATAGGTCGATGAGTAATGAGTTTCCTTAGCAGTAGATGTAGAAGTCTGCCAATTTACGTAGAGAGAAAGGAGGTACACAAATTTAACAGATTTGTATTGCAAAATGCATAGTTTCTGTCTGACCACCTGCTTCTCTTTTAGATTCTTGCAAAAAAGCAGATGTAGGAATTCCCACGTTTTCCCTTTCCTCTTTTTTATTTAAAAGTAATATACTCTAGGTAGATAGTGAGGATTAATGTAACGATACCATCTTTTTAATGGAAACTGTAAACACGTTTTACCAGTTTAAATAAAGCTATGGAAGAAACTATTCTACATGGAAAAGTTGGTCCTGCTTGCAATACTTCAGATTTTCAAGGAATGGGAAAGGATGCTTAAGTAAATAGTTTATCTGGAAAAAAAAATCATTGGTTTTGGTGTGAAGGGGAGTGAAAACTCAGAAGTAACTTTTCATTTAAAATGAAGTGAGGGAAGAAGTTGTGTATAATAGTGGCATATAATAAATACATTTAGTGTTCTCTTTAAAAAAAAACCCTGTGGATATAAATCGTATGTACTGCTTTAACATTATACAACTTGAAGTTAAATAAATGCAGTTGATACAGAAGGTAAAAGGAGATGCGGTTCTAGGAGGCAGATTTCTGTTGACTTTGAAAGGTGAGAAACAGTATTTTACATGTTTTTTTTTTAATCATTCCTCTCTGCACATTTTTGTTTCTAGCAGAGACATTTAGAAGAATTTTAAAAGACCTCTTTTCTACTTACATAATTCATTTCAGTTGACAGAAGTCGTTGATCTTTCATTTTGCGTAGCGGAAATTGCTGTTATCAGTTCAGGCCCAGAATAGTTTCTAAAGTGAGCTTTTGCCACCTAGTGGCACAAAGATTTTAAGCTTACATGTCCAACTCTGAAGAAAAAACTTGGACAGTTTTCTTTTTGGCACATTTTCTGTTCTTCCGTTTTACAAGTTACTGGCTTAAGAAGGAGGGGGATATGCAGACTACTAATACTGTAAAAATAGCATTTTGGAGAGTCTTAGGGTGTAAGATTGTCACAGCCACTTACTTAAGATGAAACAGAAATACAGTCATAAAACTTCAATTAGTCAAGCTTTTAAAATCATCTAATGTAAAACTGCAACCAATCCAGTATTGTGAATTTACTGCGGAACTGCTGAATTTACTGTCCCAAATAAGTTACTTTGTACTTAAATAAATCCTGCCTTTAGACTGGTGAGGGGAAGAAATCTATTACATTTTGGGCATTTTTTGCCTGTAATAACTCTTAACACATAGATATTATTCTAAATTTCATTTTAAAATAAAATTAACAGTAACACACTTCCAGCCTCTTTCTTCATTGTAGGCTTTAGGTGAGGGTAGAAGAACTGTAATACAGAAGATTAGACTTGCACATAAATCCAGTCACTAATATTCAAAACTCATATTGCTTCCAGTAGCATGCAAGTACAATGACAGAACCTCTGTTCATGCAGCAGGTAATTTTTATCCAGCAAAGTTGTCCTCAATGTATTTCTTAGGATCTTAGTATGCAGAAATAATTGATAGCTGCTATTTTGGAACAACTATCAGAATACACTCAGAGCTGTTGACTCTGAGTTTTTCATTCTGGATTTAAAAAAAATAAATAATCCTAATAATTTTTTTTTCTTCATTAGGTGTTGTCCAAGGAATAATAACTGGAATAAGAGGTCTATGCAATGGCCTGGGACCAGCACTGTATGGCTTTATTTTCTTTCTCTTTCATGTGGAGCTCAGTGAATTACCATCTGATCAGGCTTCTGGGAAAAAAGCTATGCAAGATCCCAGTGATGAGGCAAGTTTAAAACTTGGTGTGAGGTTTACTTTTTTTTAACACATAACTTGTGTTATACCCCTGCTTGTCAAATGCTATGAGTCTGTAGGAGCTCAGTTGAGAATGAACTATTGCTGTGCTGAGCCTTGATCAGACTCAGTACTGAGGTGATTAAAAGTTCTTCTCCCTTTGTTTCCAATGCGATAATACTGGATATTGCTACAATTGCAGGAAATAGATTTTTAAGTTGTTATCACAAATAAGTTATTTCTATAGGTATTGTTAAAATTCTTCACGTGAAGAATAAATTTGTGTGGTTTTTGACACATTTCATCGAGAGCAAGCTGTCATGTCCCATTTAAAAAAAAAGTGAAACATTTAAGTTTAACTCAATTTGTGAAAGCAGATTATTGGCATAATTAGTATTTTACCTTTCACATATAAAGTATTCTGTGTCCACTGATGGACAGAGTGTTAAAACAAATTTTTATATATAATGGTTTCGTAAGCCTTGTTATTCAAACAGTGGTGACCGAAAAGTCTGGCCGCAAGTTTCTGTTACTTAGTGTGTAGAGTAAACAAAGGAGAATATAAATAGTGGTAATTTCTGGTGTTTTTTAACAGCTTGAATGTGATTTTTTTTCTTGTTACTTGGCTTTATTTGTTCCTGTTGCTCTAGAAGACTTAAGAATAGGATTTACTGAATATCACTTTTTTTTTTTTCTTGTGGAGATGGGAGAATTGCAGTGTTGCCACAGGGCACACTTGTGATTCTGTTCTGGTAAAGAAAAGGTCTGATGCATCTATTCAAGAAAGATTGTGTATCCGCTCTGCAGAGCATAAATGGTAAAAGTTAAGCCTGTCTGTCTCCATCTTCATTTAAATAACTGGTTTCAAAACTGGAGAGTCTAAGGAGGAGAGTAAGTTGCATCGTTATAATTATCCACCCAGGGCTCTTAGAGCAAACGGTGCAGTTGGAGGCTGTGTTTGGAGAGGACTAATAACACTTCGCAGTGCAAAGAATAAGAACTGCTTTTCAAAGCCGCTTACTCCCTTCAGTGAAACTGCAATAGTGGAATATTCAAAAGCTGCTCAGATAAATCAGCTGTTAAGCTACAGATGAGGATATTAATTTATGGAAGTTTATTACATTCGTGAAGTATTTGTGGCCTTAGCAACACTTGAAGATTTAAGTAGTATTGTTAATATAAATTCTGTTAATACAATTATATATTTTAAATTTAGAGACTATCAGCTGAAAAATTAGGCCTCTGCTTGTTACAAGAGCTGAAGCAAGAGAAATAGCTGTTACTGTATGCTTAATTTCAGCTACTTTTCCATTTCATATTGGTAGGAAAAAAGTACAACGGACTGACAGGTTTCATCTTCTGATTTTTATTTAGTTTTAATTGACAAAAATGTAGAAGTTGTTTAAATAATAGAAAATTGCTGGATTGCTGACATTTTCTTTTGTGAAGTTACACCATCAGAAGTAGCTGGTTTAAAATTAGTCTTATAACCTTTCGTGTGCTTTTTTTCAATTGTAGTTATGAAATGTGGAAAAGTTGTATTTTAAATTTTAAAATAAACTGCTTAGATGCAGGAGAGAATAATGCCAAACACTAAGTTACTATACCTGCAAACAACCTGTCTCTGCAGTGAGAAGGGTATGTACTACATAGCCTGCGGTAAATGTATTAAGAGGCCGTTTGTTTATTCAGCTAACTTCATTCTAAAGTGTGTCAGCCGTGGAGCAACTGAAAGAAGTGAACAACTTAAAGATTTGTTGAGCATTTGTACTTCTGGATGTTGAAATCTTGTCTGATTAATCTTCAGAGAGCTTGCTGATTTAGCAGACGTGCTGCCTCAAGAAGATAAATTTTGAAAAAAACCATCAGACAATGTCTGTTTCATGTGCTAGGCAGTCCTATTGCCGATTGATAGTTTTGTGCGCTTTTCTTTTTTTTAGATCAGCGTGCAGATTCGTTGAGGAATTCTTAGGGATTGTAAATGCAGAAGTTTGATGTTGTGGTGCACATACAAACTTGTTTGAATAAAGTGATAGTCACTGTAAATATGTCCCTTCGCTTCCTGCCTTAATGTTACAGTTGGTAATGCAGAAGTCAACATCTAAAACTTCATGAGTTCTTTGATATATTTGTTTCCCTGCAGAGAGCGATCATTCCTGGTCCACCCTTCCTGGTTGGAGCATGCATTGTTCTCCTGGCTTTTTTAGTTGCCTTATTTATTCCTGAGCACAGCAAAGCCAGCAGCACCAGAAAACACAGCAACAGCATCAGCAGTACTCTCAGTAACAACCTAGACCAAAATAGTGAAGAGGACATTGAACCATTGCTTCAGGATAGCAGTGTATGAAAGTTAACTTCTGACTGTGGAAAAAATTCATGCAACAAATTACAGCTCTGGAAACTTGGTGAGATGTATAGAATATCTGGCCTCTGAAAGGAAGGCAGCTGTGTTCAGAGGAGGCCGTATGCTGTATGAAACTTCAGGTTGGTATCATACTTGTAGGAGGGTTTGTTCAGCACGGCAGGTCACAACCAAGTGTGATTCTAACCGATACTGGACTCCAAACGCTGTGTCAAATCCTGGTGTTGGGTAGAAACCCAAATACACAGACATAATAATTTTTTTTAAAACATTTGAATGTTCAGTTCCCAAAGTTGTATGCAAAACAATCAGGTTTGGAGCAGAACAATTTCTGCTGCCACTGTTAATGGTTAGTTTACGTTTCTTATGCCTTTTGTCTGCATGTCTGCCACATTTAGTCCTCACAATGTGAGAGAGACTGATCTATATAGTTCTGGTGTTTGAAATAGTGGTTATCAAAAAAAGTTGCAAAATTTCTTGGAGCTTCATTGTGAAATATTATTTACTAATGAGAAGTCCAATAGTTACCAGAAAGTAATGATGAAACTGAGATGATTTCTGAGGTTGTATGATCACACACAATAGTGATTACCCATAAATAAAGGTCATATTGAAGTCTTATACCCACATTCCACACCAGTCAGTTCTAAGAAGTCAAAGCAAATCCAAAAGGCACTCTAGAGCACTGGTCACATTAATGTTTTGCTGATAAAACATATGATTTTAATTATAAAATGAACAGCATCAGAAATATGGATACTCCTGACTCCTGTGGTAGGGAAAACAGTGGGTGCCAGAGCAGTTTACATCAAGAAATATGTATATTTATTGCATTTTGTCACTTTATCTGCCATATGAAATAATATTTCCTATTAATTCTTTTCACCCCTGCCTTAACTGCTACTTAGTGTTCAGTTATTGATCATATTTAGCCTTCATTTCACTGTATTACATGCTGGATCTCTTGAATATATTCAAATCAAATTTCCTTTCTAAAAGATGCTTTAAAGGAGTTATGAATGGCTACAGATGTGCTAATTTTTAGAAACATTTTATGGAGAATATGGAGATTTATATGTATTTTGCTGCAGTGTAAATGGACCACTAAGCCCAACTTCAATGAAGTACTCCTATGAATGTTTTTTATGTATGCAATATATGTAGATATTTGTAAGGAGTTTTAAATTTTCCAGACGGGGTGCTGTGTAAATCATGTATTTATAAATGTAATGAGGATACTGATGGATATACAGTTTTTTAAAAGGATTGTGTATTGAATGAACAAATTTTAAAAATATATATTTTGAAACTTACTCCACACTGAGCAGAGATAACAAACCTTTTGTACTAAGCAGTTTAGTTTTCAAGTTAATAAGCTTAATAAATCTGCATCTTAAGCTTTCTAGGTTTCATGTGTAAGTGTGTGTTCTTCCAAATTCACTGCTGAGGCCTCCCTGCTTCAGAACAGAAGTGGTTTAATCCTAGTGTTGGATTACAGTACCTGAATTCCTGTAATACTGTTGTGTCTGTGTCATCAAACATGGTGAAAAGCAGGCCTCGCTCAGAAGTTGCTTTGGTGTCTGACATGGTGTCCACAGGAATAGAGAAGTGGAAAGTGTGGGAGTTTTCTTTTAAAAAAAAAAAAAAAGACAAAAGCATTGCTGCTGTGAACCGTACTGCGGAATTAGGATGCTTTTCCTGATGAGGCTTAAGTGTTTCGTTTACTTTGAATTACTTCAAATTCAAGCCTGGGCTTTTATGCTGGATCTTTTATATTTGCTACAGGCCAGGGTACAGTCAGGTAGGTTTTGCATGGGCCCACTGTGGAATGTCTTAAACTTAATACCTAACTTAAGAGATCATAAGTATGTTAGTGGTAAAAGTAGCTGGTGTCAAATACCTTACTGTTGTGGTTTTCTAGCAGGGATCAAATTTGGATTTTTAAAGAAGAATCTCGGAATCACAGAACAGTTAGGGTTGGAAGAGTCTTTTAAAGACCATGGGACTGGGACGTCTTCCACTAGACCAGGTTGCTCAAAGTCCCATCCAGCCTTGCCTTGGATGCTCCCAGGGAGGGGGCATCCACAACTTCTCTAGGCAACCTCTGTCTCACCAACCTTAGCATAAAAAATTCCTTCCTGATCTCCAATATAAATGTACTCTCTTTCAGTTTAAATTTGTGGCATCTTGTCCTGTTTTTACAGGCCCTAGTAAAATGTGTGTCTCTTGTCTTTCTTAAAAGGCTCCTTTATATATTAAAGGGGTCTCTCTGGAGCTTTCTCCAGGCTGAACAGCCCCAGCTCTCTCAGCCTGTCCTCACAGTGGAGGTGCTCCAGCCCTCTGGTTGTGTTCACGGCTCTCCTCTGGACCCTCTTGACAGGTCCATTCTTTATCGTGCTGAGGAACCCAGAGCTAGATGCAAAAAAATGTTTTAAGCCTGTGGTATATAGTTATAAATGATATACAAGTACTGCTGTACTAATAAAGTACATTGCAAAAGATTTAAATAATGAAAAAAGGTGAGATAGATTAATAAAACAATGAAAAGACATTTTTATTAGTGGTTCAAAATACCTTTTTGCTCTCACTAGAAAATTAGTACATGATGCTGTGGAATATATTTCATTATTTCTTAAAATCTTGGCTTAACACTGCAGTGCAGAGAGTCAAAGATCTGATTCTGAGTTTAGTTTATGATGATTCTTGGTTTTAATGGCTGTCATTGCTGAAAAGGTTACCTCACAAATTGTGGAATTAAGACACTTTTTTGCCTAGACTTGAGTTCTAACAGCAAGGCAACCGTCTTTGTTGAACCTTTCTCACGTCGTGTGGTGTGGGATAATTGTCCAATTATATAGCATTGTTCACACATCGGAACATCAAGTAAGTTCCAAGAGATTGTGCAGCTGGTATGTAAGTAGCTGTCCCCACAAAGGTTCCCTAGGCAACCTTAAGGGTCAGTAACATCAAAGTTCTGACTTTGAGGGAAAATTACATGGAGCATGGTGTGGGGTGGAGACACGGTGGTGAAGCTCTGTGCATGCAAAGGAACCTGGAGCCAGTAAACTGCACATTTACTACCCTGGGCCCAGAGTCTGTCATCTTTTGATATATACCATCTTTTGATATATACCATCTTTTGATATATACCATCTTTTTATATACACCATCCTTTGCGTGAACTATGCTCATTATAATTCCAAAACACACCTCCATCCCAAAAGCTACCTACCTCCAAGGTGCAACCACCCCTCACTGAGCTTGTGCACTGTATTTTTCTAGTCTATGTCTTTAAACGCAAAGAAAGGAAAATTTACAGTAATCACAATAAAGATATGCATGACTAGAGTCACTCAAGCTCCACCTGAAAGGTAACAAATAATGTAGAAAGGCCCAAGAGAGGGGGGATGTTAGGGAAAATACCACCACAGTCAGGGCAGACATCACCACTGACCTCCTCTGGCTTCTGGGATCGGTTGATGGGCTGAGCCTCTCTTCCCCTCTGTGGGGATGCCTTTGGGTAAGATCCAAACGCTTGGTCTCACCAAGTGCTGCCCCAGGATGCTTAGGAAATTTTAATAGAGCTGGTCGTAATCTGCTCTTCCACATGCTTTGCAGACAGTCACTATCACTGGCAATCAAAATAAATTTGTGTATCTGTTGCTTCAGTAAACTCTATTTGATTCCTATCTGGCCGTATAAGTTCCTGTTGGCACTGGCACACTGAGTTTGGCCATGTGAGTATGTTCCCAGCCTTGTGAATCCAGGGGTGCTGCCAGATCGAAGGCGCATTGGCACGTCACGTTAGTAGTTTGGAATATTAACACTGAATTGAGCATCACTCAGAACCTAAGCCTAGCTGCCCCCAGCCCCTCTGATATCTGAGGACAAGCTGGAACGCAAGTAGCTTCTGCCAAACTGACTTGCCCCCCTTTTTCGCGACAGAAATGGTTGCCTCTTTTGACGTGACACAAATGTACATGGTTCCAAATGGAAGAAGCATGTTGCTGCCTGTGTTACTAAATCATGTTGCTCTTTTTCCAGTACTATTCACCAATTATGCAAAGGTGTTTGTTCAAATTCAGACAGTGAGTTTCCATCTTCCCTGATGTCAATCAGGTGTTCTTGCAAGCAAACTGGGAGGTCTTGAATTTTTGTGCCTTTTAACAAATGGATTGAAAACCCACTGAAAAAATGTTCATTTGGAAGATTTTTTAACAAGTTAGAAAATTGTGTTCAGTTACGAGAGTTTTTATAGGCAACACGTTTTTGCAACAAAATTGCATAATGATGGAAACACTTCAGAACTGTTTTCAGAATGCTCTCTTCGTACAGTCAGTGTCTTTAAAAAAGCAGTTACATTCTCGCTCATTGTTAAAATGTCACCTTTACCTTGAAGAGACAGAGTAAATGTTTTTATTTTTCTAAGATACTGGCCTGGGTTTCATAGTGCTGACAATCCCTTTTCATCGCCAAAAAGGTCAGCAGACTTGGAACACTTGTCTTTCTGTGAAAGAAAAACATATACTGATCTTTGACAACTCCTCTAAGTTTGCTGTGAAATAACTAGTGAACCTCCATGGTAGAAAAGGCTCTAATGGTCACTTCCCATCTTTTTCCAAAGATTCTAGTATTGAAAGGTGTTGCTTTTATAAAATTAACTAAACTGGCGACGTAGTGCCTTCCACTTCTCACTCCAACTTCTTTGCAGCTTTATCTTTCCATGAGTGATCCAGTGGATGAATTTCACTATTGCTGTATACCAGGATCCTGTTTTTATTCCAGTCAAAGCAGCTACTCCATTAGTTGTTTTTCATAAAACATTTTTATTAAATAAGCTATTTACTGAGAATATATCTTCTCTATTACATCTTTAGAGACTGACCAAGTTGTTCACATGTTTTGTCACTTAAAAATTCTAGTGAAAACCATAAACTGAGACAAGTTAGGAGTGCCTGTACTTTCATCCAACTGCATAAGAAACC